CCCCCCCCTTTTTTTGTTTGAAAAAGGGCGACGGGCTCGTTATATGATCATCCGAACTGACCGGCCCTTGGTAATCCGAAATTGTAGTATTTCACTCATCTGCTTCCAGTGGAGTTTGAACGCAGGTCTGTATTTCGACAGTTCTGGGGTGTACAAACTGAGCTAGGTCAACTGGTAGCATGCCTCCTTTTGAAATCAGCAGATATAGCTATTTTTAATGCCTTTCCAGCCAGACCCCTCACCGCTGCCCTTGCAGTTCTGGCTCCTTTTCCAATTTAGCCTGCGTGACTTACTTTTGAACTTGGTCGCTAGTCCGACTTTCTCTACACACAAGTGGTTATCGGGTAGCTGAAAATTCAGGAATGAAAATTATGAAGTGAGAGTTTTGTGCAGTCCTAAAATTATGAATAGTCCTGAAGTGGTGAAAGGTCCGAAGACCCTGAAAACCATCTGTTTAGGTAGGCTGCATCCTGAAGTGGTGAAAGGTGTCCTGAAGTGGTCAAGTGAGAGTTTTGGGCAGTCTGAAAATCCTAAATGGTCCTGAAGTGGTGAAAGGTCCGAAGACCATGAAAACCACCCTTCACCACTTGAGGATGCAGCCTGCCTAAACAGGTGGTTTTCAGGGTCTTCAGAGCTTTCACCACTTCAGGACCATTCAGGATATTCAGACCTGAATGATCCTGAAGTGGTGAAAGGTCCGAAGACCCTGAAAACCACCTGTTTAGGCAGGCTGCATCCTGAAGTAGTGAAGGGTATCCTGAAGTGGTGATGAAAAATACGACTGTTGTTAACCTTCTCTCTCTCTACAATGTCATCTGTTTGCTATTGGTAAAAGCCCTGACTTGCTTGTTCCTCTCAGCTACTCTTAGCTGTGAGACATGCATTAGGAGCTGGAGCTGCTATCTTGGCTTCTTTATATTGATCTTGCTAAAATACTAAACCCTAGCGGCCCTAGGTTTGAAATTACTTGAGTTCTAAGTTTTGCGATATCTCTGAATCTCTTCGTACCGCTTTCTGAAATCTGTTTTTTTTTTTCACAGCATCTGTTTGCTACTTGGAAACATCCCTTGAGAGCCTTGTCAGACTTGTCTATCATTATGATATTCCTCTCAGCTGCTTAGCTGCCGGATCGGCATAAGGGAATGGAGCTGTTGTGGCTTGGCTGCTTATTTTCAATCTTGCAAAAACCCTAAACCCTTGCGACCCCGAACTTCTCTCTACTATTTCCTGCAATCTTTTTCTCCCCCTTAGATTCTTACGTCATGCCTTCGTTACGATTACTGTCCTATCTTTCTAGTGAATCTTCTATTCTTCTTCTCCTTCTCTTGTAGGCTGCTAAACCCGCAAACCCTAGAAGCTAAACCTCGTGCTTGATAGCCCCTACACCGTCGATGTTTTGCTGTCTATTGTCGCTGACTGCTCGTCCTGTCAGAGTCGGGGAAAGGTCCTCTTATGCCAGGGCCAGGCTGAGTTGAGATCGTGACGAGCGGCGGAATCCCTGAGAAGCATTCGCTCCTCCGTGGTCAGCCTCTTGTGTCTGTGCTGTGATTTTCCAGACGAGCCTCGACACTTCGCCGTGTAAAGAACCCCCCCCCCYCCCTGAGACATTCGCTGTTAAATTTGTCTATAATGTCCTGCTTTTTGGTGGGATCGTGCTTGATAAGGTTGATCTTTTTACGCCAGTCCCAATGGTATTCGACCTGTTGCAACTGCACAAGATTCTCCCACACTTCCGCCGTCGCGGTGATTTGCAAGTCAATCGCCGCCTTACTTACATCTTCTCTTCCAAGAGCATAAGAGGGCGGAGTCTCCGATAAAGGATGTGCAGCCACTTCTCCGGAAGTGTAGGTTGTCTGAGACTCATAAACCTTGTGAGCGGGTCTTCAGCGAACGGGGTGTCAGTGATCAATCCCCATAAAGTGGCTACCCTCGTCAACAGCTGTTGTCCTCCAGGACAATACAAAATAGGCAGTGGGCCAAGTCCTCAGGGAGTCGGCGGAGTCACAGATTGCACACATAACATCGAACTGCCACCTGGCTTCTTCTGTCCGTCGCTTGCTTAGCCACTTGCTGACCGGAAGTGCATAATAAAATATTCAGAATAATAAATGAGCCACTGCGTACTTCTGATTCTGGTGTTCTGAATGGCGAGCGTGATTTGCCCGGAGATCACCGTCTGTCCTCCCAGTCCGCCTGGTAAGTGTCTCTCCCACCGCTGGGCCAGTGTATCTCGTGCATAGGTTGCTCGTCTCCTGAGTCTGTGGCCTAGTAGTCTGGAGTAATCGAGAAGGTTCATCCTTCGCCGTGTCCTTGTTGCTGCCGAAGTGGTTTTCCAGGCCCATAATTCTGCAGGGTCAAATTCCAAGTCCTGTAAACGTGGTGTAGCACTGTATATTCTATAGACATACTCGTCTATTACCCGCACCTTTCTGAGAAGGGCAGGCTTTGCTGTGACCCTTGCCCTGAGTCCCCCTGACCATCTTGTTAACCCTGCCGACAGTCTGCCTGGGCTGCTCTTGTATATCATGGATAGTAGTCCATAACACCCACTCCTCCGAAGGGCCTGTTCTCTTGACGAATGACCGGGAGAGGGGGGGGTTACTTTCTCTGTTCTGAGTCTGTTTTTTTTTTGTTTGTTTCTCTTCTTTCTTCCTCTATTTCTTCCGCTTTTGATAAAGGGCGATGGCCTTGAGATATCGTCATCGCACTGACCGGGGCCCTACCGTCTTCACCCGAATAGAATGCCCGGTCATTATAGCCGTATATGGGGCAACTTTCAGTCTAGATATAGCGATAATGATCGGCCGTTCTATTCGGGCGTTTCAACTGTTCAAGGTTGTGTTAACTGAGCTTACGCCAGGCACGTGTTTCTGTCGGTTCCGAGTCCAGGCATATCTGTTTATGTCTGTTCTGACTTCTCAGCCCATTCGCCTTGCTTCGATCTCAAGAAGGCGTTTGAGTATTTTGTCTTGTCGGAGTCTAGGCACAGGTGTTTTCGGCTCTCCTCAGCACAGCAGCACGTTTCCTCGCCCAGCTTGTTTCTGAGGCTGGGCCTGGAGGCCCTGGATCCTATTCTTGAGTCAGGCTGTATTGTTTCGTCTCGTCCGTGCTGCTGATGCAACGTGGTAGCGCCTGGGCCAGCATGGAGTCCCAGGCAACGCGTTCTGGTCCCAGCCCGCGTTCTGGTCCCAGCCTGGACCAGCATGGAGTCCCAGGCAACGCGTTCTGGTCC